TGGAGGGGGGGGTCCTGCGGGGCGGGGGAGTTTCATTCCCATAAAAAGTGCCATCTCCACCCAGAGCTTCCTCTAAGGTTCGCTAAACTCTGGTTCCTGCTCGCCGTTCTCTCCCCGCCGCGACAGTGGCCCTGGCTGTTAGCAGGCGGGGCCCCGACCCACACACACGGGGGGGCCCCGGCCGTGTTAGCAGGCGGGTCCCCGACCCACACACACGGAGGTGCTCAGGCAGTGTTTACAGTATGTGGATTTTGTCTCCATCGAGAAATCTTTGAAGGGTCATCAGGTTGATGAGCAAGCACCTGAGCTGCCTGCCAGCCAGACGTGGCCTTCTCTCCTGAGACGGGACGCGGAGGGGAGAGTGCGGGCCCTGCCGAGACTGGGAAGCGGTTCCACATGGAAGTCCCCAGGGCCACTGGCCACCAAGCGCGGTGAGGCGGACCTCGATGGCCCTGTGCCGGGTGAGGCACCAGCCACGACAGCCCCACATCCCCTGCGCCCACGGCCAGTGCCATTCTAACCATGCTATTGGTGAGACCGTGGCTGCGCACTACCGCGAGTGCACTTAAGAACCCCACCGAATTCCATCTCCGAGACAAAGGTCTGCAACCGAGAGCCGGCCCGAAGCCCCCGAGCCTTCCGAGTGCAGCCGCCCACCTGCGTGATGCAGGCGCCCGTGAAGGCCACGATCACGGCCACCACGTTGACGGTCAGCTGGAACTGCAGGAACTTGGAGATGCTGTCGTAGACGTTGCGGCCCCACATCACCGCCTTGACGATGCTGGTGAAGTTGTCGTCTGTCAGGATGATGTCCGAGGCCTCCTTGGCCACATCGGTGCCAGCGATGCCCTGGGGGTGGTGCGCACACACCCAGTGAGCCTGCGGCCCCTTGCCCACTCGCCTCGGCCACCAGGCTCACCTGGGCTGGCTCCCTGCCCTCCCCTTCTAAGTAGCCGCATCCCCACGCTAGGAGGGCCTGGCGCCTGTCTTCTGCACGTGCTCGCACTGTGCACAGCAAGTTGGCACGTGTGCTGGGGGGTGGGGGGGCTCTGCACAAACACAGAGTGCGACGTGGCCGCCAGACAGCCTCTGGCCGCTCTGGAGAGGCTGGCTGGCTTAGGGCTGTGGGGTTCCAAGCAGGAGTGCCTCAGGCAGGCCGAGGAGCCTGCATCCCCACATACACGGACAGCCCCTTCAGCATACTCAATGCACAGCCTCTCAGCCTTGCCCCCGCCCCAGGCCCACCCTGTCCCCTCTGCTTTGTGGGCTCTGGGCCCTGCGGGACGGGGTGAAGGGCACTTTTTCAGGACATGGGGAGAGGCGCTTTCCAGGACTTTGCTTGTGGGGCCAGGCAGGGTCAGTGACATGTCTGGGGACACTACTAATGACATTGGGGCTCAGAGCACATTTGAGGGTCTGGGAGCCTCTGTCTACAGTCACCTTGGGCATCTTCACACCAAATACCTTCAAACGCACCCCAAGTGTCCCCACCCCAACTGCTCCCACTTCAACGACTAGGTGTCGACGAGGAGCCAAGCTGCATCAACCTGGCGAGCTGGGCTGGTGCCAGGCAGCTTACCATGGCGAAGCCCACATCTGCCTTCTTCAGGGCTGGCCCATCGTTGGTGCCATCCCCGGTCACAGCCACCACCTGCCGCTGCTCACCCGTGGTGCTGTCAATGATCCCTGGAACACAGAGCAGGGCAGGGCGGGGCTGGTGCCATGTGCCCACCTGTGTGACCTGGCCCCGGTGGCTGTGGGCTGGCTCTGACAATCCCCTGAGCTTGTGCCTGTGTTCCTCGTCACTGGGATCACGGCCCTGGTCATAATCAGGCAGCCCCCTGCCCTCCCTCCTGACCTGACCCTCCCCAGGGAGGCTCGCTCGCTCAGCGATCTAGGAGACAGGGCAGGGCGGTGCAGTTTAGCAAAGGGGCCCAGTGCTGCGGGGTGCAGCGAGGCCTCCCAATCCCAGGCCTCGGTTCCCCATCTGGGAGATGAGGACAGCCTGGATGGGCTCTTCGTGCTCAGCCCTTTTTGTTCATCCCATTAAGCCAGAGCCGAGAGAGCATGTCAGTCCTCTGAGGGTGTCTGCCGTGGTCCCTGCGTTCCCAATGAGGAAAGCAAGGTGCAGGGAGGGCCATGGGATACTCTGAGGTACGCAGCAACGGCCTAGAGCGGAGGACCCTGGTTTCCTGCGCAGGCCCTGGAGCCACGTGGCAGCATGGCTTGGCGTCTGGCCACTTGGGACGGAGGCCGGCGAGCTCGATGGCCTCCTGACGTACCTGAGCACGCGGCACACGTGGCTGGGCTACGGTATGGGCTTGGGCCGGGGTGCCTTTACCTTTGACCAGGGTGTGCTTGTCGGTGGGCGATGACCGGGCGAGCACCCTCAACTTGGGCCACACCTTGTACCGCCGCTCTTGTTCTATCTGG